GAAATGTTACTCCCCCCATCCTTTTCCTCGATATTCTGATTTCATTCTAAGTTGTTTGTTTATTTTGATCTTGTGACCTCTGCATTTTTTTTCCTTTTGATCGTTTTCCTGATAGGGTGGTAAATTCTTTCATTCCCTCCCATGTCCTTGTTAATCAATTTAATTCATTCTGCACTATCATCTTGTCCTTACAACTTCTTATCCATCAAAAAGACGGCCATGTACTGTGACTGCTATAATGTTTCCTCAGTCAGTCTTACTTCATCCTGAGCCATTTAGGTGCACTTGTAAATTGCCAAATGCTACAACAAAATCCATCACTACAGTCACTTCTGTTATTTTTTTTAAATGTCCAAATCTGTGGACTGACAACTTTTTAATAGTCTTGACTGACTATTTAGGCTTCACTAACATACTGCCTCTGTATTTATTTACTTCTATATTGCTGCTTATTTCATATTCTGGTAAAATCAAGCACAAAACAAATACGTGCTCTGTTTTCTAGCAGCATCTCCACTTTCTCACATTGCTGAGGTATTTTTTGTTTGAATACCCTCCACAAAATACCCCAAAGCATTCTCACAGAATAAACTATTCTCTGAGTTCAATCTGAGTTTGGATTCCTGATTGGATTAAACTTCAAGGTTAAACGACGGCATTATAGACTTCCTGCATTTTGCTAGACAGTTACTAAGTCCAGATGCTTTTCTGTTTAATCTATCCAGATATTTATAGGGCTTTCATCTGTAGGAACTGAGCACCTCCCAAGTATTTACAATAGAAATCACAACAAGCATTCGCCTCTCCCTAACTGTATCTGAACAGAAAACATACATGTCCACAGCTGCAGCACAGAAGTTTGAATGCAGGTAAAGAAATAACTTTTGGGTCTGATTCCTCAGACCTTACTGAGGCAAAATGGTCAGTGAATCAGTGGCCCAAATCCTACCACTTTGAAAGCACAGAGCTCAGCCAGAGAACTCAGGCCTCCATGGGCACACAGCAGTAAGTGGATCCTGAGTGCAGGAACTTTCCTTGGCAGTAGTTACACGCCTACACCCCCTGCACAGAACAAAGTGGTGAATGTCCACACTGGTCTCTATAAAAGCATTACATACTTTGAGTTAATTGACAATGAATTAATTAGATATGTAAAAGTCTAGTGTACGTATACCCACTAGGTAAAGTCCAAATGCATTCCCCTTCCTGTGGTATAGCTTAATTAACAAAGAAAAGAAAAGACAAAATCAGCTCAACCCTTCTTTCCCTGTTTGGCTCCTCCTTATACATTACTGAGCTCACACTCTAGAGCCCCTATCTTTGGAACCACTCACCACCTCAAGTTGGGGTAACAAGCCACCTGCCTCAGAACCCATGTAACACTTTCATGCTAGCACCAACACTGGCTAACCAGCTGGGTGTTCCTGTCAAACTGCGCCATTGCTAACTGCAAACTATTGTTACATTGTGTTTTCATACAAACATCATATAAGCAATTGTAATATTAGTCACTGGTTATAGTTAAAAGTGTTTCTATATATCATTCACTATTGTCCTCATAGGCTAGATCTTTAAATAGGACATTAGTGATGAATGACACTTTACATATTACATAGTTCCACTTCAAAACATTTTGAGTATCTTTCAAAAGGGGAAGTCACTCTCAAATTGTAAAGAAATAAACTACTGGTACTTTTTATTTTTTGTGCAAGGAAAGTCCATATATTATAAAAAGCAAAGTAGTCCCTATTGGAGTATTAGGCAGTAATTGTATGTTGAGTTCTTATGACTAAAGCATTTATGGTGTCATAAGAACTGCTTAATGAATGTACTGCCTTGTAATACTCCACAGGGTATACTTTATTTTCTCTCTGTTACAGCTTTTGTCTCTGCAGATATTTCTAAAAGCTCAGTTTTAAGAAAGCAGAACTCATACTGATCATGTATGTTTATTAGAAGCTGCTGGTCATGGAGAACACCAGTGGCTTGAATGATTCAAACTTATCTGGATCTTTTACAGGTAATTACACACAGATGAGAATTGATGACTGCTGGGATTTTTTGCATTTTGCAAATTACACTTAATAATATATTGGTATGCACTGAAGCAACATTATACCTACTGCTGTAATCTTCCTGTAGGTGATATGATGTATAAAGTGATGTCCTTAGATTTTCTGAAACTTAATTCTGATAAGACAAATTTATGTTGATTGGTTCTTTTTAGTCTCCAAGGAATCATTTTCTTTTTTAATGGTTCAGTTGCTAAATCCACCACTGTAAAATAGTTAAGAATCTTTTATTCAGTTTTCCTGGATTTAAAAACCATATCAAGTGTCACACCAGTTTTTTTTATTCTTAAGTTATATATGAATAATTTGTCAGCATCATAGATGTGTGTTGCAATTTAAAGTTAGGGCAAAGAACATAATGACAGTTTTAGAGTTCTGCTAGTTTTGTAGGTACAAGATAGTCTGATTGGTTTGCAAATGTCTCAGATTCAATTACAGAGATCCCAGAGAGATGGAAAAGACATCTGAGTTCATCCAATCCAACGTTCATTATCCAAAGTAGGAATACACCCTTTATTACACTTTATAGGGACAGCCATCAGGAAACCCATTATGCCTCTCTTCCCAAGCTGCCTGGCTCCCGTACAAGTTAGAGCTGCAAGGAGCAGCTCTAATTTATATTACAGATGTAAGGTCTATCAGTGACTTTACATCAGTGGAAGGATCAGGTGTAGCAAAATTCTGCTTTGTTCCACCCCACCTCATTGGTGGAATGCCCACCCAATCCCACATGCTGAGTGTGAGTAGGGTGGTTGGTGCAAGAGGTGGCAGATCTGTTTCCACCAGCAGTTTCCCTGTGTATGGGGAATTCACCATTGGCTATGTCTCTGTGTTAAGTACACTTTCCCACTATGACAAAATCTGACCAATAGTGTTTTGTCCAATGTAATGTTAAACACCCGGAATAATCATGTTTCCACCACTTCTCCTTGGAGGCTATTCAACAGCTTAATCACCCATACTCAGGGGTGAAAGTAAGTCCAGTGACTTACCGGTACACGGGGGCCAGCTCTGGCCCCCGGAAGGGGCGGGGCCTAGGGTGGAAGGGGTGTGGCTGAGGGAGTCAGAGCCAGCCCCAGCCCATCCTGTAAGGTAAGTGCCCCCCCCCCCCCCGACCCGGGTAGCAGCAGCAGCAGCCTGGGGCTCCAGGGGCTATTTAAAGGGCCCAGGGCTCCCCTGCTTCTACCGCCCCGGCCCTGTAAATAGCCACGGGAGCCCTGGGGAAGCGGCGGGTCTCCGGCGGATATTTAAAGGACGGGGCGGCAGAGGCAGCTGGAACCCCGGTCCTTTAAATAGCCGTGGGAGCCCCCCGCTACCCTTGGGCTCCGGGGCCTATTTAAAGGGCCCGCAGCTCCCCTGCTTCTACTGCTCCAGCCCTTTAAATAGCTGCGGGAGCCCTGGAGAAGCGGTGGGGCTCCCACGGCTATTTAAAGGACTGGGGCGGCAGAAGCAGCTGGATCCCCGGACCCTTTAAATAGCCCCTGGAAGCCCCCCCCCGCTACTCCTGGGCACCAGGGGCTATTTAAAGGGCCCGGGGCTCCCCTGCTTCTACCGCCCCGGACCTTTAAATTGCCACCAGAGCCCTGGAGTAGTGGCGGTGGGGCTCCGGCGGCTATTTCATGGGCCGGGGCGGTAGAAGCAGCGGGAGCCTCAGACTTTTAAAATAGCCCCCAGAGCCCCGCAGCCTTACCCCAGGGCTCCAGCAGTGGGGCTCTGGTGGCCCTTTAAATTGCCCCTGGGGAAGCTGGGTCGCTCCGGTACGGCAAACTGGCTCTTGCCGGTACGCCGTACGAGAGCGTACCAGCTTCCTTTCACCTCTGCCCACACTCTCAGGAAGTCATAGCTTTCCAATATCTATCCTATATTTTGCCTTTCTTAATTGTGTTTCATTACTCCAGGTTCTAGCTCCTTGTACCAGACTAAAAAAACAAAAACCTCTCTCCCTCCTTGTTGTTTACACGTCTCAAGTATTTTTAGACTGTTATCATGGCCCTGTTAGTCAGGTCCATCAGCACAAGGTGGGAGAGACTGGCTCCATGTCCCTTCAGTCGGTTGCTTGAGCCAATGCCAATGCCTGCTGAGCACTAAAGCTGCTATGTGATTTGCTGAAGTGCTTTTCTCACACTCTGAAAGCCCTCCCTCTGCAATTGCCTGCCCGAGCTTCCAGGTACCTTCATAGAATCATAGAAGATTAGGGTTGGAAGAGACCTCAAGAGGTCATCTAGTCCAACCCCCTGCTCAAAGCAGGACCAACACCAACTAAATCATCTCAGCCAGGGCTTTGTCAAGCTGGGCCTTAAAATCCTCTAAGGAAGGAGATTCCACCACATCCCTAGGTAACCCATTCCAGTGCTTTGTCACCCTCTTAGTGAAATAGTTTTTCCCAATATCCAACCTAGACCTCCTGCACTGCAATTTGAGACCATTGCTTCTTGTTCTGTCATCTGCCCTCACTGAGAACAGCTGAGCTCCATCCTCTTTGGAACCACCCTTCAGGTAGTTGAAGGCTGCTATCAAATCCCCCCTCACTTGTCTCTTCTACAGACTAAATAAGACTAGTTCCCTCAGCCTCTCCTCATAAGTCATGTGCCCCAGACCCCTAATCAATAATTTTCATTGCCCTCCGCTGGACTCTCTCCAACGTGTCCACAACTTTTCTGTAGTGGGGGGCCCAAAACTGGACGCAGTACTCCAGATATGGCCTCACCAGTGCTGAATAGAGGGGAATAATCACTTCCTTCAATCTGCTGGCAATGCTCCTACTAATGCAGCCCAATATGCTGTTAGCCTTCTTGGCAACAAGGGCACATGTCATAAACAGACAGTTAAGGGTTAATTCCTCTTTTACCTGTAAAGGGTTAAGAAGTTCACATAGCCTAGCTGACACATGACCAGACGAACCAATTGGGGGACAAGATGTTTCAAGAGGAAGGAGGGAAGTTCTTTTGTTCATTCATTAAGTTCTGTGCTGGAGTGAAAAGATCCAGGAATCAACCAGGGTAGTGAGTATTAGAGAAGGAATGAATTTGCTTATGTTTATTTCCTTTTGTGACTTTTTCTTTTTGCATAGAGGAATAATCAAATTGGGTTTTCTTTTGTGTAACTAAGGTTTTGCCCAGGGGAACATCCTTTGTGTTTTGAATCTGTTGTCTGTGAGAGTAGCTTGCATGCTAATCTCACAGAGATATTCCTTTCACCCCTTTTCTTTAATTAAAAGTCTTCATTTTAAGAACCTGGTTGATTTTTCCTTGTTTTAAGATCCAAGGGGTTTGGATTGGTGTTCACTAGGAAATTGGTGGAGAAGTCTCTCAAGGTTACCCAGGGAAGGGTTATAGTACTTGGGAGGGAGATATTTTGGGGGGAAGACAGAGTTCCCAAATGACTGAAACGGTTGTTTAATCGATTTGGTGGTGGCAGCCTACTGATCTAAACTGGTAATTAAGCTTAGGGGTTCTCATGCAGATCCCTACATCTGTACCCTAAAGTTCAGAGTGGGGGTGAAACCTATGACAACACACTGTCGACTCATATCCAGATTCTCGTCCACTGTAATCCCCAGGTCCTTTTCCGCAGAACTGCTGCTTAGCCAGTCGGTCTGTAACAGTGCATGGGATTCTTCTGTCCTAAGTGCACTTGTCCTTGTTGAACCTCAGATTTCTTTTGGCCCAATCCTCCAATTTGTCTAGATCACTCTGGACCCTATCCCTACCCTCCAGCGTATCTACCTCTCCCCCAAGCTTAGTGTCATTCGCGAACTTGCTGAGGGTATAATCCATCTCATCATCCATTTCATTAACGAAGACGTTGAACAAAATTGGCCCCAGGACTGACCCCCGGGGCATTCCGCTTGATACCGGCTGCCAACTAGACATCAAGCCGCTGATCATTACCCATTGAGCTTGATGATCTAGCCAGATTTCTGTCCACCTTATAGTCCATTCATCCAATACATACTTTTGTAGCTTGGAGGGGGGCGGGGTTTCCAGGCTGTTTGCTCCCCAGCTCCCTTGGCCTTCCCCCAGCCCTGCTCTACTCTAGATACTTTCTCTAGCTCCCCGGCAGCCAGCCCCATCTCCCTGTACAGCCAGAGAAAGACTGTGTGTCTGCTCCTGGCTTCCCTGGCTTTTATAGGGCCAGCTGGATCTGTCTGGGGCATGGCCACAGCTGAGGCTGCCTCCCCAATCAGCCCAGCCTAAGGCTCCCAGCCCCAGCCCTCTCCAAGGGCTGGCTTTTAACCCTTTCCGGCCGGGAGTGGGTGACCACCCCGCTACAGAGGCCCTTAGAAATGTAATATGTTCAATATAAGAATTAGCGATTAACTAACCAGACGTGTTGAAAAAGTAATACAGCAAAACAGAAAATTACCAATAAGTTCTTGGAATGTATTGGGGTCAATGGTTTTGTTCCAGAAACTAGAAGAAGTAACCAGGGGGGTAGCCATTTTAGACTTGATTATGATCAACAGGGAGGACTTGGTTGCAAAACTGAAGGTCAGATACAAGGCAATGTGGGGGAAAGTGATCCTTTCATGTTCACTTTCCTGATTCTAAGAACAGCAGAATAAGGACAACAGACCTGTTTAAAAATAGATATTAAAAGAAAACAGACTTCAACAGACTGAGAGGAAAAGTAGCTAAGGTTCCATGGGAAGAAAATCTAAGGGGCATGGGAGTTCAGGAGAGGTGACAGTTTCTCAAAGAGACAATATTAAAAGCACAACTGCCAACTATCCTGATGTGAAGGAAATATAGGAAAAGGCCAATATGGCTCCATCAGCTCTTTAATGACCTGAAAATCAAAAAGGAATACTACAAAAACTGGAAACCATGGACAAATTACTAAGGAGGAGTACAAAAAAATAGCACAAGCATGTAGGCACAAAATCAGAAATGTTAAGACACAAAACGAGTTACATAACACAAGGTACATAAGAACTGATATTCTTTATATACATTAGGAGCAAGAGAAAGACAAAGGAAACTGTAGGTCCTCTACTTAGCGGGGAAGTAGAGTTAATAATGGATGACATCAAGAGGGCTGAGGTGTTCAATGCCTATTTTGCTTCAGTCTTCACTAAAAAGTTAATGGTGACCAGATACTCAATACTATTAATATTAAGAATAAGGTGGAAGACATGTAAGCCGAAATAGAGAAAGAAATGGTTTAAAATATGAAGTAAGTTAGATGTATTCAAGTCATTAGGGTCTGACAAAATTCACCCTAGAGTACTTAAAGAATTAGCAGAAGCAATCTCAGAACTGTTAGCAATTATCTTTGAAAGTTCCTGGAGGACAGGTGAGGTTCCAGAGCACTGGAGAAGGGCAACATGTACCTATACTGTATTTACAAAGGAGAACAGAAAAGATCCGGGAAATGATAGACCAGTCAGCCTAACTTGGATACCTGGAAAGATACTGGAACAAATAATTTAACAATCCATTTATAAGCACCTGGAGGACAACAGGGTTATAACGAATATCCAACATGGATTTGTCAAGACTAAATCATTGCAAGCTAACCTAATTTGCTCCTTTGACAGGGTTACTTGCCTAGTGTATAGGGGAGAAGCAGTAGATAGGATATATTCTGATTTTTAGTAAGGCTTTTGACATAGTCCCCCATGATATTCTCATAAGCAAATGTAGCCTAGATGAAATTGCTATAAAGGTAGGCTTATAACCAGTTGAAAGATCACACTCAGAGTAGTTATCTATGATTTGCTATCAAAGTGGGAGGATGTGTCTAGGGGGTTCCCACAGAAGTCAGTCCTGGGTTCACTACTAATCTATATTTTCATTAATGATTTAAGAATGGAATGGAGATAATTATAATAACATTTGCAGATGACACCAAACAGGGGTTGCAAGCATGTTGCAGGACAGGGTTAAAATTCAACACAATCTTGACAAACTGGTCTGTATTCAACAAGATGAAATTAAATAAAGACACATGCTAAGTACTTCACTTAGAAAGGAAAAATCAAATGCAGAACTACAAAATAGGGAATAATTGGCTAGATGGTAGTACTGCTGAAGGGGTCTTGGAGTTATAGTGGATCACAGATTGAATGTGAGTCAACAGAGTGATACAGTTGTGAAAAAAAAGGCTAATATTATTCTGGGATATATTAACAGAAGTGTTGTACATAAGACACGAGAGGTAACTCTGTCCCTCTGCTTGGCACTGGTGAGGCATCACCAGGAATACAGTCTTCAATTCTGGGTGACACAGTTTAGGAAAGCTATGGACAAATTGAAGAAATTTCAGAGGAGAGCAACAAAATAATAACATTTAGAAAACCTGACCTATAAGTTTAAAAAAAAAAAACACACACCAAAATTGGGCATGCTTATTCTTGAGAAAAGAAGACTGAGGAGGGACCTTGTATCAGTTCTCAACATGTTAAGGGTTGTTATAAGAGGATGGTGATCAATTGTTCTCCATGTCCACTGCAGGTAGAACAACCAATAATGGATTTAGGTTAGATATTAGGAAAAAATCTTTCTAACTAGAAGTGTAGTTAAGCTCTGGAATAGGCTTCCAAGGGAGGCTGTGGAATCCCCAACATTGGAGGTTTTTTAAAAAAAAACAACAGGTGCCTTCCAGCCCTACATTTCTATGATTATCTGCTTATATTTTTACAATATGCTTATATCTGGTAATGTGTACATCTGTTGGGAAATACACAAGGGGTATTTGGGGCTGTTTGGTTTTGGGATGAAGCATTTGCCAGTAGTTTAACAAAACATAAATTGCTGTTGGCAAACTATTCTTATACATTATTCTAGATAAATACCTGGTAGAATTGCTCCTTGTATATGCTGCATTTTAAGGCATATCAAAACAAAAATCTATTAAAAAGTCGCATATGGATATTCAGAGACTTTTAGGGATAACATTTCTGAATCCCTCACTTAACTTTTTCTGTTGCCTTTCCATAGTTCACCAAAGCCTCCTCATTTTTGCTCAGCTATCTGTGGCCCCGTTCTGAGTTGTCTCTTATAAGTAAAGATTAGAAGAGCTAAATATGTATAGCATGGTAAGTCATGTCTTCCAGCCTGCTGTTCATTTTTGTTTCCTTCCTCTGATTATTCTCCATTTGATGTATTGTCACATTACATCCCCTTCCTCATTTATCATTGAACCTAATTTCTTGTTTACCCTGATACTTCTGAAAACTGTTTATTTCTCTTGCTAGTCATAACCTAGGACAGGATTTTCCCTTGCCCTCTTAGCCCATTCAGAAGGATAAGGGGGCACAAAGTCCCCCGATGGGAGGCAGGGGGGAGGGGGTTATGCATCTGGCAGATCCCAGTATTTGGGGTACAGGGGTTGTGTTCTCCTTCCTGTGCAGGAAAGCAATAAATGTACTGTGATGACACATCACAGCCACTATGCAGTGGTATGCCATACTCATGCCTATCTCAAGCTGCCATCTTAATCTCCAGAATCCCAGTTTTCATTATAAAACTAAGTTTCCAGCTGTTATGGTTGCAAGAGTGGGAACCGATGCAAAAATACCTATGTGAGTCTGCAAAAAAACTTAGTAACAGTAGCTCTGAGAGGTGTGAACTCTCCCATTCATCACAATGTTGTGTTATAATCATTGGGCATCTGAGCTAATGTCAATGTCAGCATTATTACCTGTCATTCCTGATGTAAGGAAGGAGAGGGATGGTCACAAATCTACCAATTTACTGTGAGTAACTTCTCATTTTGGTGGAACAAGTAGGTGTTATTTGAGAGATACTGCCACTTTTTCCCTCCACCAGTCCGGAAGGCGACAAGCCCAAGGAGCCTAGCACAACCCATAATTAAGCCCCACTGAAGGAGACCCAAATTACTGGGAATCGTTCAGTCAAGGACCAGATACAATACTGTACTATATAACTCAGGTGATCAATATCAGAGGTGAAATATTTGTAATGAACAGTTTGCAAGCAATCCATAAGATGGAATATGTTCCTCGGAACTGTTCCTGAAATGATTTGCATAAACAAGA